AATTAAGGCAGTTCTGAAGGTGAAAGGGGGTCAAACACCGTATTAGTATGGTGTTCCTAATAATCCTTTAGGTGAGTGTATATATAATTAAATTTCTTAATAATGTCACTTTTGCTGTTATTGCCTGAAATACTGCTGGTTAACGTGACACTTTGATGTATTTTGACCATGAAACAGGTTTGCTACTGTGACACCAACTTGAAGTGAGCGTGGGGTAACAGTCCACGGCCCTTTAGCGTAAGCAGTGCATTCTGCTCATGATTTATACGCCATCTCTGTGTCTGTGATCTCATCCGATTCTGATGCTAAGCACGTCCCCGTCTGCAGCAGGACGTGCTTTAAATGGTACATGTTCTGGGTGGGGGGGGGTGGTGGGCATGCAGAGATACTCGCCTAGTAAATCCCCAGCCAGGTCTGTGCCGGGGCTGTTTCATTAGCTGAGTGGGACTGGGCATGGTTCCTCCTAGAGGGAGGGATTAAGTTGGTGAAGGTGTCTTAGCTGGCAGATAGCTGCTAGGGAATCATGGGATGTCTGTGGGTGGCTGGATGCAACACCCCCTCGCAGAAGCTTCCTGTCCTCTGGGCAAGTCGACTGAGCCCCTAGATAGCTGAGTAAAAGACTTTGCTGGAAACCAATTTGGGCAAAACTGTGAATGACAAGAATAATTAGAGCAAAATGCCCGCAGGAGCAGAATAAATAAACAGTTGCCTTGACAATGGAGGCTTTGTTGTGCTGGATTCATTCCATCTTTCCTGGATGTGCCGTCGGTAGAAGCACATAGCGGATAGAAGTGATAATGGAACAGTGATCAAATCACCGTGCGCTATAAGGGCCGGCTTCCGGGCTGTGAATAATGCCGCCTTGCATTAGAAGGCTTAGCGATGCTAGTATACGGCTGGCTTTTTATTTTTTTGCTACAGTTAACTACTGATAAAGATCAAAAAAGAGATGCATCTGGGCACATCTGTCAATAGTCAATAATCAGTAATCCTGTGCTTCTTGACAGTCAAGGGTTTTTGTTTTTTGTACATGATGCAAAGTTTTTCTGATTGACTACATGCATAAATTTGCATTTCTTGTCACTTATTTATTCTGGGGAATATGGCATAACTCGCAAGGAGATCATTAATCCGTCCCAGAAATATGAAGTGCTGCACCAAAGTGTTGTTAAGGGGGGCTGTAAACACGAGTAGATCCCGTCTGCACCACCAGGTGGCAGGATATCACAATAATTTTCACACCTAAGCCGTATGGAGGTAAAATGAAGTCGGTCTGTTGCCGTGACAGCTGTGGGTGAAACACCGAAGGAACAATGGAAACGATGACCAGGAACATCTACGCTAAATAACCCTTAAAACATATTACCACAACTTCTGTAACATCTAAATAATGCATTAGGGACATCACCTACCAGCTTGCGCAAATTCAAAAGTTAAAGTTTTGTGTTTTTTTTTTTTCTGTGGGTCCACTGGGATAAATCTTGCGAAGTGTCAGAAAGCGACAGAAAGCGAATCCCCGTTGGACGGCGTGTAGAGACGCCGCGGCAGAGTTTACGCTCAGCTATTTCCTGTAGTTGTCAAAGCTTCGGGGAAAGCTCTGATTTAACAAGCTGCCGGGGCTGCTGTGTATAGCCAGAGGGCGACCTCAGGCGTCCCCAAACGCGACAGCTGTGTGGCGTGGTGCAAAAGGGCCATAAACTGGAATATCTGCAGAGTTGGGGACCCAGCAGACGGTACGGACGTATCATGCCTCTTTATCCCCAACAGCTTCATTCGGTGGTCGTCTCGTTGAGCACGCTAAACCTTCTTCCCCAAATTAACATGTTCAGAACAAAGAATGAAGAATGGTGTATAGAATCGTAATCTGGAATCATTCAGGCCATTCGTGGGGTGTACGGCGTTTCCTTTCACCTGCAGCTTTTCCTCTCATTTATGATTTATGTGTCTAAATGGTGGCCAATTCCTACTGGGATCCCAAGTATGGGGCCAGTCCTTGCCATCTTGGCACTGGCCGGACGGAGTGGGCCCCGCATGCAGGAAAGCCTTGAATGGCAAAGCGTGGATGTGATTGTTTTCCTCCTTGGTTGTTTGTCTCCTGCTGGAAACACAAGCTTGGGGTCAGCAGATGCAATTAGGTGAGCTGCATCCTTTCAGGGTAGATGGTCCGGTCGCCCGAGTTCCCGCTGCCTTCCTTAGCGCCTGGTAGCGGTAGCAGTCCCGCCTCCTTCCTAACTCTAATCCTCCACCCAGAGGTCAATTAGCACTTGCAGAGCATCACACCAAATAAATCAAAGCATTGGTCTACAAAACAGATTTGATTGGCTGGACGTGTGACACGGAGCCCCACTGGGACGGGATGAACTGGTCTTGTGTGAGACAGGGACACTTTCCGTGCCATTGATGTGCTTTTAGAGTCGTGGGGAACCTGCAGTTTGAGTTATAAATCTTCTACTAATGTACCCAAATGTTCCATCTGCACACAAGGGTGCCCAATTATGGCTCAAAAGAACCCTGATCCAGTTTTTCTTGCAGATTCCTAAATGTGCTCTCAGTCTGAGGAGTAAAGAAATTTTTGATGCAAGGTTTTCCCCATTAGGGAACCTTGAAGCCTGATTAAAAAAAATAATAATAAAATAAAAAAAAAAACAGAACAGATGTTTTGATTAAAATCACACATATGTGAGATATATAGATATTGCCTAAAAGTGTTTCACCGTGCTTTCTTTAAGATCCAATTGGCTACCTGCCATCCACCTCAGTGGACTGCAATGAAATCTACCCCAGGGTGATTCCATTCCAGGTCTGCTTAATACCACTGTAAGGTGCAATCACATACTCAAAAATTAATACAAATTGTCTTTTTTTTCCAAGTGTCAGTAAGAGCTCTACATCAACCTGGGGGGGTCTAGATTATTTATGTCTTTGTGGCTTTTGTAAATAGGTTAGAGCAATTTTCGAGCGCGCTGCATTTCTGAATTGCTTTAAATATCCCGCGACAGATTTACTTTCCCTCAGACATTCATACGAAATTCGATGTAGTTTTTTTGATAAGATACATTTAATTTGTGTTATCCATCCATTTTACTGGGTGGGGGGGGGGCAGGAGCACACTCTGGATGGGATACCAGTCCATTATACACACACACACACACACATTGCCAGCATTGCTGCATGTCTTTAGACTGTGAGACGATCCCATAGGAAGCCTGTATGACTCATACAAACTCCACACAGACACACTCGGTCCCGGTTATCAGCAATGCGGCTCTGCTTGGGCACAGACTTCGCTTTGCTCTGCGAGGTGGTTTGTGGCTCAGTGGGTCAGGCCTCTGCGCCTGTGATGGAAAGGTTGCTGGCTAATCCCATCCTGGGCAGAATAGTCACATCTCCATTGGGTCCTTCAGCTAGGCCCCTAACCTCCTGAAATGCATCGGAGATGCCAGAAAAATGGCTGAACTTGCACTCTCAACTGTATGTGCGTATGTCTCAAAGGAGACCAAGATAGGATATGCAAAAAGATGCATTACAGTCTTTCTGTACTTCAGTATTTAGTAAAGCTCTGGCCTGCCATCTGCTCCACATATTGCAAAATAACAAGGATCCAGAACTGCTGCTTGATTGCATGGAGAATGTTTGTGGTGTTTAGAGCTACCACCGTTGGTTTTTGTAGCTCCCCAAGTAGAGTGCAGCACTAACACTAAGCTAAGGTTGTTGGTTCAAATCCCAGGGAGCATGTGAATTGTCACCCTTCCCTCTACAGTAACTTGCTTTGGATAAATGAATAAAATGTGTACTTGCATTTGATTGGATCTGGTTCAACTGTAGGTGTATCTCTTGCGCTTGAACTACCTGTTTTCCATAAAAAAAATATTGGGACTCTATCAGGCCCCATGTGAAAACTGCGAAAACGTGGACAGAGAGGAAACAATAAGAAGATCCTGACCCTGTTCCTTGGAGACTTTGTGCGATGGCGTTGGAAGGATTTTAAATAACATGATATATTCTTTGGCCTGGTCTCTGCGGCTTTGCAGACCATATTGACTCATGGGTGGCTGATTTATTTGTTTTTTGTTTTTTTACTGCAAGACCTGCTAGGCGTCAGCCTCTTGTGTTGAAAGGATTAGGCGAAGAGGGTCCTGCCAATTTGCTAGATCTGGGTAAGACCCAACAGCGTCGTGTCATAGCATAAATACAAAGATGGAGCCATTACAGTCTCGTACCCATCGCTGGCCTTGGAGTTTCGTCCAGAGATTTTTGCTTAAGCAAGGCTGCAACTTCCTGAGATGTTTCCCTGACCTTCAGTAATGCTGAAAAATAGTAAATCTGAATTCTACATCAGTCTGTGTTTGAGAATCAGTTAGCTGAGTAGAGTTGCAGCCCCAGGGCAGCACAGAGGCAGGTAGATCATTAAGAAAAGGCAGACTCTCATCTTTTTAATATATATTTTTAGAAAGATGAGAACTTTTTTTTTCCTCTCCTAACCCAAACATGCTGGCGAATATGTTGATTTTGTCTCCATATTTTCTCCCCCCCCCTCCAGATATTTTCCTCAAGAGCTTCCCAGTGAAACCAGGGGAGCTGAAGGAGAAGTTGTGCATTGTTCACGAGGAGGACGGCGGCCTCAGCGATGAGCAAGTCGCCTCGCTTCGGAGGTAGGACGCCGCAACCGGCCGTACATAGCCGTTCGATTCTGATGCCAGTACATATACATCTGTGTTACATATGGGTGACCGGAGAGTGTGGCATGATCTAGTGAGCACCTTGTTATCACGTTTAAAGGTGCATTATAGCTGCTATCCCATGTGCTACAATAACAGATCGAATAGTAATAGAAAAAGGCTGAATGGTAAACAATGTAGTCAGCAGCAAGAAGAGATTAGAGGCAAATCCAGCTGAGACTGAGGGGAAGTGCATGTCGGAAGGGCCAAAGACGGCCGGCAGATCAGAGAGGCACCGATAATCCAAAGTCATGCCTGATCCTTTTATTGGAGAGGCTTTATGGGGAAAATTTTATAATGAAATGTTTGAGGAGATAAGTGGGGCCATGATTCATACAGAGGGGCCAACCTTATCATTAGCCAATGATATGTTTTGAATCTGTGAGTGACAAGGGATGGGGCCCTCCAGGGGCCAATCAGCTTTCAGCTAGGGACAGTGCCCCTGAGGCCCCGCCCCTTTGCCTTGCTCCTGGGAGACAGACAGATTTATTACAGGAGTCGCTGTGGATCATTCTGTGAGAAGGTGCGCGGGGCTGTTTATTACACGTGTTTGTCAAATACCAAGGGGCATTCGAGGAGCTTTAACAGAGCAATCCTAACAGAAAGAGCCCCTGTCACTGCCCCTTTAATATTAATGTCTGGCAGCTGTGTGCTGTCCCCCCTGGCTCCTGAAATACTCAGCGGCTCCTCCTTGGAGCAGCGGCAGACTGAACACGCCGTGTGTTGAGTCCATTTTGTGAGAGAGAGTTGATCTCAAGCGCAGCTACGGGCAGCACCCGAGCTCTGACGACGGCTGCTATTTAACAGATCCGGAGCGAGTCGTCAGAAGTCATTTAGCTTTAATCACCCTCAGAAATCCCGCTGAAGCGCTGGGGATCTGCATAGCGCGCTCTGATTTACCGCGAGTGGGGCAGAGGTGACTCCGGGCTGATTCTGAGCAGAGCTCTCACATTTACTTTCCATTTCTAAGATAACAAAGCAAATACAAAGTACAGTTTTTACTCTTTACATACAGCTGGGTATTTTTGCTGGATTGATTGTGGTTAAATAAGCGCCAGGAGAATCTTTGGACTTGATCTGTTCTTTAGATCCACAGTACTTACTGTCCAGTAATATGTGTATAATATCTGCAGCTTAGGTGGATCTTTTTCCGAGCAAAGTCTTGCTGTATTTCTGTAGGTTTAGCTACAGCTGAGGCATCAAGCGCTCGCACCAGAACAGAGCAGGGAAATAACTCCTTTGATCATGGGTATTTGTGCTATGCTGACAGTTTTTGTGTCTATCTATTACCTACCTTTTGATGTAAAAGGGAATTCAGCTTTTACGGTTCAGCTCGATAGTGATATGATAATGGTAATAGGAGTCCTTTAGCTCTAAGGATCCAGAGGAATTTTGGACCTAATGTTTTGATTGACGTGATGAGTCATTGCCTGTATTGATTAAAGGTCTTTTCGGGGCCAGTCCAAGGCATAAGCGAACTAAGTGGCTGCTTTAGGGCCCGGCGGCCACCAGGGGGCATCCACATCTGGTCAGCCTGTGGTCTGTGTGTGTGTGTGTGTGTCGGGGGGGGGGGCATGTATTTATTACATTGCGGGGACCAAATGTCCCTACAATATGATTAAAGCCTGTTATTTTGACATTGTGGGGGCATTTTTTTAGTCCTGAAAAGGGGAAACTTTTTTATAAAAATCTGTGATAAAAAAGACTTGTATTTTGTCTGGTTACTTATGGATGAGGTTAGGGCTGGGTAGGGGTTAAGGTTGTCGTTGTTGGGATTAGGGTTTTGACCATAGAAATGAATGGAGAGTCCCCACAAAGGTGTGAATACAAATGTGTGTGTGTGTGTGTGTGTGTGTTAGAGCAATGGGCCCATGTTTGCATTTTGCTTAGGGCCCCAGAAAGGGCTGAGATGGCCCTGGGCTCTCTACACCCCATCCACAGGTAATTACCGGCATCTCCTTGGCCTTGTTTTTCTCAGGTACGTGCCGACTTCGGATGACATTGAGATGTTTAAGTCCTACAAGGGGTCTCCCTCTGAGCTCCACATGGTGGACCAGTACATGCTGGAGGTAAACCCCGCCTCCCAGGGCATTTGCCGGTCGATTCACATGTGAGGGAATCCACAACCTTTCCTTAACAGGACAGGATTTTGCAGGGAATTATACGACACCTCCCTGCTGTTTAATCCCCTATTCCTTCCTACATAGCAGTGATTCCCACTCCTGGGGGAGGGACACATTTCAGAGCACTGTTTATTTCTGATGTACAATCACTGCTAAGTTTATGCAGGTAAAAATTCATGCTGATGCTGGTGGATTTTTAAATTTTTTTGGCGAGAGTTGGGGGGAGGGGGGGGGGCTCCCATTATACGGCCCCCAGCTCCCAGTCCGGCAGGTAGCACTTGCAGCGCCGTTGTTGCATAACAAACCTCTTGGCTCTTAAGCAGCTACGGCATGGCAGCAAAACGGGGTCTCCCCCCGCCCCCCGTCTCCTACTAGAGTCCAATGTGCACCACTGTTTTCCTCCACGTTGTCGCACCAGTCACACTAACAGTTCTACCGTCTTCCCACCCACCGACCCCAAGATGTGCAACATTCCATACCTCAGTGGTATCCTAGACCTTCTGCTACTGCTACGGGAGCTTCCTGTCAGCATGGAGGACCTGCATCCGGTGAGTGCCCCCTGGTGGCCAATGCGAGCTGTTACACACACACTCTCCTCCCGCCCGCCAATCTCTTCACACCCCCATGTGTGCATTCTCACCACATTCCCTACATGGCCTGATTGCTCCATTAGAGCAGGATGATGCATGCCAAATTGGGAAATGCAAAAGTAGGACATCAGATAAGATGGCACCCGAAATAGAGAAGGTGTGGCTGCGGGGTTGACGCCCCCTGGTGTGCGGGCTTGAGCATTGACGCCGTTGCTGATGTTGGGCCGCTCCTGTGATTAGGGTCCTTGGGCAGGGAGGAATGCGTAAGTGCTTCATGAAGTTTCTGAATTTTGCTCAGTCTATTGTACAAGCTTGTTAGACTCAAACACTGAGACAAACAAAAATAAATGCCGTCAGTTGATTTTAGCGGAGGGAGAAGATGTATGTGAGGTCACTGGAAACCTGAAGGACTAAACTGCTCAGCCATGCAGAACGAGAATATTGCATAGTGAAGGATTCTCATCAGGAAACAAATCGTCTGGAGGGGTAGGGTCATGCAAACACACATTTTGCTTGATGCTGGGGGTCATAAGAGTCACAGGAAATGCAACTTTTTGTGATAATTGGGGTTTGTGTGATATGGGGCTATCCTGGGCATGTTGGAGGTTTCAGTTTCATTTGGTGTCAGCAACATGCCTTGGGTTGGTCCCGACGTGGCACCAGATCTGCGTCTCTGCTGTTTGTGAGCTGGAACCGATTGTCCAATTGTTATTTTGTCTCTTTGGATGCTATAACAAAGGCTGGTACCCAAGACCGCACAATGGTATAGCTGCCTCCCCTAAACCAAAGCTACCATTATCCATGCTCACACACTCATGTACAATTACAATTACAATTACAGGTCTCTGTATGCATAATAATGTCAGTCCTCAGGTGGATAATACACATTCTGAAAGTAGCCAACTGCAGATTTTCTCATGGGTGCCCCGTAGTGTCCGGGCCCCTAATGGGCAACCTGGGCGGTACCAAAATCACAAGGATGATATTAGAAAAAACTGATTGGTTTAAGATTCCATTGATCGATTAAAATTAATTGAGTTTTAAGTATAGAGAGTTTAAAAAGCAAATGAGTGATAACTACCATGTGCTGGGATCTTATGGAATAGAATAGTGATACTTCATTCATCCCCTGGGGGGAAATTCTCATTTTGCCTACCCCGTCTTGCTCTCCATGACTACACACAGACTCATATGCAGGTGAGTGAAGTTTGGGGGTCACAGCAAGGGGTCAGCCCACATGCAGCACCCCCTGGTGTGCCGGGGGTCACAGCGCAGGGTTAGCCTGCATGCAGCACCCCCTGGTGTGCCGGGGGTCACAGCGCAGGGTTAGCCTGGGTCAGCCCCCTGGTGCTGTGGGGGT